TGGAGATCATCTGCTGCTGCAGACTTTGTTTTCTTTAATTCTAATATCCTTCCTTAGTTTGTCAAGTGTTTTCAAAATAAGGTGGGAGTGAGGCATGGAGGGACAGGGGAAAAAGGATTGTGTGTTAAACCCCACATTTAATTTTCCAACTGGGGTCCCTGCCAAGGGACCAGAGTAGATCAGAGTAATTATCAATTGGTCAAATATGTAACAGCTGTTTACTCCATGTAAAACAAGGCTGGTAAATGTTCAGTAAATGCTAGCCAACCACACAAAACATGCTTTCAATTCAGTCCAAGATTTTAGATGCTTTTTAGGAGACAATATTGAGACTCAATGCCTTGCCTATTTTTCACAGGTGCTATTGTGTTTTTTCCTTTGAACTTTCCAAAACACGATCTTTTATTTGTTTAAATTTAGATTTATATTTTCCTGCATTGCTGCAGCCTTTGAAAATCTTTTTCATATTCCAGTTTTTATCACAAGCATGTTACTTTCCGTAATTCTTAAAAGGACGAATTGTTTTATTCTAGTCATCTAGTCGGTTATTGATGCAATTCAATATCCTCATGCATGGGAAAACATTTTAAGCCCACCCCCCTTTTTTACTTAAGAGGAATAAAAATAAGTGTTGGTGAGGATAGTAAAAATGTAGATTCAGCCTTTTTGGAAAACAGTGTGGAGGCTTCTCAAGATATTAAAAATAGAGCCGCTCTGAGTCAGCAACTTCACTCCAGGTATCAACCCAGAGTGCATGCGCATTAATTTGAAGGAGTAAATACACTTCTATATTCACTGCAGCACTATTTACAAATGCAAATTTTGGAGACAACTTAAGTGCCCAGTGACAAATGACTGAATTGAAAAGTTGTATATATACACAATGAAATTCTGTGCAACTATAAGAAAAGATGAACCTGATACATATAAATTACAAAAAAGATGAATCTTGCCAGTTGTGACAACATAGGTGATACTGAAGAAGGACAAATCTAAGTGAACCCATTGTCAGTTACTGCCTTAAAGTTTTACTCTTTACTACATATCAGTTAAGTCCTGACGTAATTGATTCCTTATCATTCTTAGCATTTGAAAAATCTTGAGACTTGGATTTTGTTCCTTATTTTTTTCTACTTCCTAAGTGAATTTGTTCAAACTGATGAAATTAAAATACATTCAAGTTGTGAGAGAAGACTCTCAATGAATAAAAAGTTGTATACTTTGTCGAAAGGATGTTAGAATAGAGAATAACTCTGAAAGTGTTGTTTGAATGTCTTTGCCCTGAACTCTATCTAGGTTATTAAGGAATTACAGGTAGAAAAGCTTACCGTCTATTTACTACTGCGTCAACCTCACCGATATCTATTGACTATGTCTGATGGTTTTTGAAGACTTGTATAAATGTTTCCTTGTTGGACACACATATGAAGCTGAGCCTACTGTTAATGGTCTCCTTATCCAGTTGCCTCTGATGGCACCAAGATAACCATTAGGAATGTTTTCCAAACCCTTATGTATTAGGCGAAATATTCCATAATTGGTACAGCAGCCCTTTTTGGTTTTGAAGTCACCACAGCCATATATGTTCGACTTGAATCAGCTGGTTACTTTCTGTAGGCGTAGATATGATTTCTTGTGACCATATAAAATTTTTGCCCCGTTTTATTGTTTAGCAGATCTTCATTTATTTAACATCTTTCTGAGAACTTAGCTAGCCAGAAACAGGTAGTAGGTTTCATCTTGTAGGACAGCTTGCTTAAGATGGTAAGAACTGGCTCTCCCTGGTGGCAGAACGGGTTAAAGCACCGCACTATGAAGCTTTCAGAAGCAACAGCAGCACCAGTTCCATCCCAGGCCCGGGAGCTGACCCACATGAGGTAGCAGAGCTACCTGGCCGGCCCACTGCTCCCCTCAGTAATGTACTTTGTCAGTCTGCTTGTTTTGCTCCCCGCTCTGTCTGTGGTGAATCTTCTCACCACCCCTGTACCCCAGTTCTGTAAGCATAAATAAATAAATCTTAAAAAAAAAAGATGGTAAGAACACATTTTTCTCAGTAGGACAGTGCACTGTGATGTCTGCCACGGGAAAGCTAATGCTAGTGAAGAGCTGTTCATCTGCCACCAAGTAAGCAGTAAAAGCCTTCCAAGCCACTGCATTACCACTCCTAAGTTAAAGAGAAAAACTTTTCTTCTAGTCTCTTAGTCTTTTTTGAAGTTGGCCTGTGAATTTAACTGACAAAAGACAGATTAACAGGAGAAAAGCAATACAAATTAATTCATTTTTTAACTTATGCACAGGGATTCACGGAAAACTTAACACTTAAAATGGCTAGACTTGGGGACTTGTATCCCATTCTAACAAAGGTACGGGGTTGTAGGGCTCAAATTGGATGATAAATTGTGGGAAGTGACTAGGAAATATATGCGAGAACAAATGGAAGATAAGGCTATTTCAGTAAAGTCTGCAAATTCATCTGTGTCAGTTCTGATGATAAGAGCACTCTCTTCCTACAACAGCTGGAGGACACCTTCACAAAGAGACATGTCTGCCCTGCTTTTCAGCAGATAAGGAAAAGGCAGAGAACTGTGCCTGGACCTGTTGATTCTCAATTACCTCCAGCTCAAAATAATCTTTATTCCAAAGCAGCATATTTTCCCGAGAGCATATTCTGATCAGTTTCATTTCTTCCAAGTAGAAAATTGCAAGGAAGGCAAAAGTGAGATTTTGTTTTCCCTAGCTCCTTTCCCTATGATTTTGAAAGTGTTTTCTTCTTTCAAATCTCCCTTGAAAGTCAGCAAATCTGTCAAACAAGTGAGTTAACTTACATCTCTAAATTTTGTTTCTTACTACAAGAGCTTTTGGGATGTCTAAGAAGCTGATGTACAAAAGATGATTTCAAGGCTGTAGGGCCACATTACACCTCACAGTTTGCTCTGCTTTTTGCCCAGCTGCATGTCTTTCTTTACTGCTTCATCTTCTAGTATATACTTTGATGATAATAGCACATCTGTTTGAGTATTTCCTTTTCCTTTCTTCTGGAATCTTTACTAGTATATATGCTTTCCCATATGCAGGACATTCTGGAAAAGTCTCTCTGGTTCTATGCAATTACAATCACCAGGATTTCAACGTCTCCTTTCCATTTACAACTGAATGTTTTGGTGCTATATCTAGAAATATAATATACTCATTCCAGTACTGCAACAGTGATCTGTGGCTGTTTCTTTGTGTCTTCTAATTTCCATGCCTATGATATTCGGGAATAGGTTGAATTTTTTGGGATTTTGTGAACTGTTTTTTGTAAGCACAAACATTAAAAATTAAATTCTTCTATGAATTTACAATTAAAGATGTTAAAAACAAAGATTATAAGTATGCAAAACTCCTCACTTCCTAATTACCTTACTATAGCTTTTTATTACCTATGTTCTCGCTGGTATGTGCGGCCATTGTGTTCATCTGTGTGGAGAAACAGCAGTGTGCTTTGCTTCTCTGCCTTTTTACAAGTCCACGTCTAGTGGTGCCATGGCAACTCAGGATTTCATCCTCCCTGCTATTTGTGAAATATTCACCTGCACACCCTGGCTGTAAGTCCATAAAATATAATTTAATCACATGTTAACCTTTAATACGAAGACCCTCACTTTTGCTGGGCTTAACATCATTCTTCTGAAGTCAGTATTTGTTCAAACAACATAGTGAGGTTCCTATTGAATCATATGCTTGTGTAAACAGGATAGTTTTAACTTTAAGAGTAGATCAACTTCTGTTTCTTTAAGTCGGTCAGCTTCCTCATTTAAAGTCAGCTCCAAGTTCTTCATTTCAATGGCTGCACCTAAGACACCATTAAAATCCTCAAGTAAGGGCACTCCCTAGTGGCCAGTGGGTTGGAGCTCAGCACTGCAAAGCTGGCTGCAGCCTCTTCTGTAGAGTTCTATCCCTGGCCCCGGAGGTGACCCACAGGACATGGCAGACCTCTCCTGACCTGCCTGCTGCTCCCCTCAGCAGTATACTTTGTCAATCTGACTGTTCTGCTCCCCACTCTGACTCTGGTGAAAACTCTCCCTGTGCCTCTGGCCTGTACCCCAGTTTTGTATGCATAAATAAATAAATCTTAAAAAAAAAAAAGTTAAAATCCTCAAGTAAATCTCCATCACTTGTAGTAGAGTCAGAGTAGTTGCTGAAGCATTTGAAAAGCTGTCATCTGCCTCGTTGGCTCTAGTTTTAGTTTCTAATTTATGTTCACTCTGCTCTTATCATTTCTACTGATTCATCCTATGAAGACACTGTCAATCTAGCTATTTCCACTTGGAAATCTGATTTTACTGTGAAAGAAAACTGGCATTTTAAAAATACATCTTACTGTTAATATAATCCTTTTCTGAGCCATTTCCTTCAAGGATTTAACAAGTTAGATTGGTTTGCTAGACTCTGAGCTAACTCTCTTATTATTGAGAACACATTTCTAAAAACCAGACACCAAAGTTGATAGATCTTAATAGCCTGAAGAGAGTACTGAAGGAATTAAAATTGTAATTGGCCAAAATCAGAGATGAATTATTCAGTCCCAAGAACAGGAAGAAAATGCAAAAATAAATAAACAAAATGAAGAAAATGCAGAACAACAGAGAATATTTCTATGACTTTGCATTTTGCCTGAAACTTACTTTTATTAACCTTGGATAGTTCAAAGATGATTTGAAAGTTGTTTTATTTTTAGATGCGAGTGAGAAACTGTCTCAGAGTTGTGGCACATGTGCCAATATCATTTTTCTTTTCTGTAAAACTTCTTACACAGGAAATTCATTTCTAGAGGAGTTGGTGCTCAGAGTGAATTCTGTAATAGAGATAGTCAGGTGCATAGGTACACCCCCAGGCCTGAAGCCAGAGCCCTGGGACCCACCTAACTCTGAATAGCTCCCTGGAAGGTTTCTCTCCACATCCAGAGAACAACACAGGACCTAGGGCTCACAAGAAAAGGGGATACTGAGTACCTCAGCTTACACATCTCCCCGGGGCTCTTTAGATGTGGACAAGGTGGGAGGGCTGACGTTGTGGAGTACTTCCTTTGTGGGAACACCTGGAGTAGTTGGAGTAGTGAGAACTTGGGCTGTCAGGGGAAAGCTGGCTGACATACCATAGTAGGTCCCCAAGTTCCCAGGGACAGAGGCCTCGCTATTTCTCTCTGTTATTTTGGACCGGGTGGAGAGGGCAGGGCCGCTCAGAGCTGTGCTCCCCAACACCAGAGGCACCTGAGTGGATGGACTTTGTGCAGAAACAGCAGGCACCCCCTGAGGTTGGATGCATGCCAACATGCTCTCTGTGGGTCTAAGGTCTGCTGCTCCAAAGAAGCTGGAAGGCCACAGAGCCAGTAAATCAGCTGCCTTCCTCTCAAAAGTGTTTTCTGGTTTCCTTTTCAATCTTTGAATTGGCTGTAAATAGAAGGACAGAGGCCAAGTTAGAGCACACACTTCCAGGAATACACAGGTGGCTCCTTGCTAATAGACCAAATTTTGATCTGGGAGGCCTTTAGAGGTGGGGCCTACACACATATGATTTAAATAAAGGAGGAACCTGAAGCAGGGACAGCAAGGGACAGATAGGTGTGGTTGAACCTGGGTTTTGCTGTTGCCTGATTTGCCTACATTTTGAATGCCGACAGTCTTCTCGGGTACAAACTTAGAGCATAAGGAAATAGGTCACTGGGATGGGTCCATCTCACTTTAGTCAAGTAAAAAACCCTAACAGGCCCTTCCTGGTGGCGCAGCGGGTTAAAGCACAGCACTAAGAAGCTAAAGCCACTTCTGCATGAGTTTGATCCCAGCCCTGGAGGTGACCCACCTGGCGCAGCAGACCTCTCCTGAACCGCCCGCTGCTCCCCTCAGCAGTGTACTTTGTCAGTCGGCCTGTTCTGCTCCCCACTCTGTCTCTGATGAATCCTCTCACCGCCCCTGCACCTCTGGTTATATATGCATAAATAAATAAATTTAAAAAAAATAAAAGTCCTAACGTCCACCAGGTGCCTGCTGGATCCTGATCTCCAAAAGCCACCATATGAGTAGTTTTCATGCTGGTCTTTTTACTCAACAGTTAAGATAGGAGGATGGTTTTTGTTCTTTTGTTTTGCTTTGTTTTTCTTTATTACCAATATGACACAGAATAGGATGTTTTGACAGGGAAATATTTTGGGTACAACAAAGCTTTATTATACCCATAGGTAGTTCTTTCATTGGGCCTAGTATTTTTAGCAACATTTCTTCTTTCTCTTGACTTATTTATCATTGCCAGTTGCCCATTCAAATTATTTATGTATACAGAGCTGGGGTACAGGCCAGAGGTGCAGTAGAGGTGAGAGGATTCACCAGAGACAGAGCGGGGAGCAGAACAGGCAGATCTATGAGGTACACTGCTGAGGGGAGCAGCAGGCGGGTCAAGAGAGGTCTGCTGCGCCATGTGGGTCACCTCCAGGGCTGGGGATCGAGCTCATGCTGAAGCGGCTGCAGTTAGCTTGCAGTGCTGCGTCCTAACCCTTTGCACCTCCAGGGAGGACCCATGGGTTCTGTTCACAGAGTTTGAAGAGTCCAGACACAGTTAAATTTTATCAGTCCCTCAACTATAATTAGTCTCTGTAATTCAAGCACGGACCTGTCTCAGAAATAATCTAAAGCAAGGATTCTAAACGAGGAAAAACTGTGTTCTCTTCCCACCCCCCACACCCCCTTTGCAAGGGCATTTGTAATGTGTGGAGACAGCGTTGGCGTCACATGTGGAAGAACAAGGTGTATGAGCATCTAGAGGGAGCAGGTCAGGAAAGCTGCTAAACGTCATACTATGCCTGGGGCCACCGAATAGCATGGAAGTACCTCCCAAGAATCAATGGTGCTATTTAGACACTGGTCTAAAGTAACCCAATGAATATTTTTATTCTTCAGCAAAGGTAGTAGGTATCCACTTACCAGCATCTGAAGTATGTAGTACTGCGGCCGGTACCCAGGACTGCTGTCACTGCTCTCCTCTGACAAACCTTCCTATCAACAGAAAAATAGTCTTAAAGTTTCCTTTTTCTTTCAGTCTGCCTCTCTTTTCCAAAAAGGTACATACTGATCCTCCCTGGTGGCGCAACGGGTTAGGACACAGCACTGCAAGCTGGCCCCAAAAGGGTACATACCACTCAAACTTGAGAAACGGTGACTTAAAAATAGCTGCTCTGACTTAGTGGCACTGGTAAGGAATGTGCTGGATAAACTATGGAAACTGCACAATTGGAACAGATCAAGGACCAGAGCTGTGTCTGTCACATGACCTCCTATTCATTGTACCATGGCCCCACAGACTGTCTTCCTCAATCCTTGTGTCCCAGCTCTGGTCCAGGGCTAACCTGGGCTTCCACTTCCCATCTCCCTCCTCACACCTCAGAAACAGCCTGAGGTGCCCTAGAAGAAGCCCAAGCACAAAATAACCAGACACCACCACCCCCACACACACATCCTCAGCCAGACCCTGGGGAGCAAGCCACGTTTTGACTTTATTTTTTATCTCCTCCCTCCCAACACAGACACTTTTTCACCTTTGTGTATATATATTGCTTAAAATTTTGTTTTTTGAATTTCATAGATTTCCACTTAAGTATTCATGTTGAGGATCTTTGTGACATTTTGTAAGGTTCCAGAAGGTTTTCAGTCTGTTGGATGAATTACAGTGAATAATTGATGCCAAAAGCAACTCATGAAAACAAACAGTTATAAATAAAAGGCATCTTTCTGAGTGTAACATTCTCAAAATAGCAGTAGAACTGTAGATGCTCTCATTTCTGATGCCAATCTTTGAAGAAGTCACACAGGAAGCCCAGAGTTCCTTGGTTCCTGAAGTCATAACTGGGCTGCTATGAATTGAAGATTTGTGGTCCCCTAAGATTCACAGGCAGGCAGACCTTGGAGATACTGTGAATTCGGGCCAGACCATGGCAATAAAATGATTACCATCATATGATGGCACATGGGTGAGTTGGTGATGGGAAACCCACAGGGATTACAATTGCAATGAAAAAAAAAAGTACAAAATGATGTAAAAATAAACTATTATATTATATAAACAAAAGTTTTTTGGAAAAAAAATGATTATCACCATAAAGTGAGTCTCACACAGAATATTTGGTTCCAAGTGTATATAAAAATCATGTTTACGGGCCTTCTCTGGCGCAATGGGTTAAAAGCACAGCACTATGAAGCTATCACTGCCACTGCAGCATGAGTTGGATCCTGGGCCAGGGAGGTGACCCACACATCATGGCAGGCTTCTCCTGGGTTGCCCGCTGCTCCCCTCAGCAGTGTGTTTCAGTCCATCTGCCTGTTCTGCTCCCCACTGTGTCTCTGGTGAGTCCTCTCACCACCCCTGCACCTCTGGCCTGTACCACCATTCTATATGCATAAATAAATAAATCTTATTTGTAAAAAGTTGTGTTCACACTATACTACTGTAGTCCATTAGTGTGCAATAGCACTATGCCTAGAATAAAACCGATGTGCATACCTTAATTAAATGTGACATAAAGACATGAAGTGACCTGCCATGGAAAAATGGTGCTGGCAAATCAGCTCCACCCACCACCAACTTTCTATTTGTAAACAATGCACTCTTCCTAAATCACCCTAGGGTGAGGGATGACTGTAGTGAAACCCTAGCCCTGAATGCCCCCATGTGGCAATATTAGAAGTCAGGCCTTTGGAGGAAATGGAGAACCCGCGTGAATGGAGTTGGTGCCTTTACGAACAGCCATCAGAAAGCTTGCTCTCCCTTCTTTCTTCTGTGAGCTAGACAAGAAAAGGGTCTCTGGCAAATCAGATGGAGGGTCTTTACCACAAATAGGTTTGCTAGCATCCTGATCTTGGGCTGATAAGGGATTCCAGCCTCTGGAATACTGAGAAAAAATATCTGTTACCCAGTCTGTAGTTAATCTTGTACTGTAGTTACCCTGACCTTCAAGCAAAAACTCTGAATTAGTGGTTGCAATCCTTGAATAGTTCTAACAGCCCAGTGATACAAATTCACTATGTGGATAATATAGAACATAAGGAATTTGTTCTTCCCAAATATCATTCTGAAAAAAAGAAAAATATGGGATGGTTTCATGTATAGAAGGAAAAAAGGGGAACCCAACAAGGGATCAGGGAAAAAAAGGTAAAACTAGTAAGTAAACTATAAATCAGAGACATTGAGCAGAGAGCGGGAAGGAGGGACGTTAAAACAGAAGTTGGTGCTAATTTTATGAACTACACCTGAGAGGAGAAATCAAAAATTGAACAAAAATGAACAATATAAAATACATACATACATACATACATACATGTATTACATACACACAT